GCGCCCCGCGGGCACCCGCCCACCGTCCCCGGCCCGGTCCCCGTCAGCTTTCCCGCAACGACAGCTCATTGCTAAGGAGCCCGTGTCCAGGAGAGCTCGTCCGCGCACCTCCAGGTTTGTCTGAACCCCACCTCTCTAACAAAGTCAGTTTGCAAAGCTTGCTGGCTAACAGAACGGCAGTCGCGCCCCAGACATCGACCAAAGCACCGGTACCGCCGGGGCAGGGGAGTCCCGTCCTCCCAGCGCAGCTCTGCCCCAGCACGAGTGCTCAGCACAGGCTCTGAGGGAGCTCGGTGACCCCAAGCAGTGCCAGAAAAACCCTGCCCACATAACGCAGCGCAGGGACAATAAAGCATTTCAATCCTACTGGAAATGTTCCTCTTCCATGATAAAGCAAATGCCAAAAGTCTGTGACTTAATACTCTATCTAAGACAAGAAAAATTTGAGACAAAGATTTTCAAGAAAGTTAATTAATTCAGAAAAAGATTAAGAGGTATTCAAATATTTTTCTAGTTTCAGGTTAAGTTTAATTTGCATTGCTAACTTGCATTGCTGTAGTGCAGTGTAATACACGTGTCTTATGTAGGTCCTCACTGTAATCTACTTAAGATAGATAGTGCCTTTAGAAAGCAGTGAACAGATACACTTTTACTTTATTACTTTAAAAAATTTAAAAATGTGTATTTATTTATTTTTACAAATCATACAGGAGAAGCATAGACTGTTGATACAAAAAATCAAGCCATTAAGATTTTAACAGCCACCACTTTAATTTTTTAATAATTCTGGACTATGAAAAGAGTAAACTATAAAAATTATCTATAATGCAGAAACTTAAAATAATTTACTGGTTCCATAAATAATTCTAATTCCTGAATATCTTTAAAACATCAAACGTAAGATGAGATCAGAACTAGCAAATGGTCTTCCTTATTTTTACAGAGATACTGAGGTAAGTGGAGCACCACTGCATGGCAGCAGTCTGAATCAGTCTGAGGAACAGGAACAGTCTAACTGCAAAGGAAAGGCAGAAAAGTACATGGTTGAACTAATTACAGTTTTAAAATTCTTTAAAAAATATGTTTCTGGAGTTTTACCTTTCATGCAACAGAAACATTGAGATTGTAGCAAAGTCTCACAAATTTATTGTCGTATAAAAATGGATTCAATCACAAATAATCAGGCTGAAGTTTTGTCAAATACAAAAAAAGACGCTTAAGAACAGAACACAATATACAAGACTAGAAGTAGTTAAATATTCCTGAACCCAAAGTAACACTGGGATAATGGTTATTTACAAAGTCTTGCCTAAATCTCTTGAGACCATGTTGAGCTACAGTAATAATTTCTCTACCTTTTTAGGAGATTAACATGCAGATCAGACAGCTGTAAACAATGAAAGGAACGTATACAAATATATGTACATTGAGGCATAGTGCTTTGTAATGACTTTGTTCCCTGTGGTCAAAGAGTTGGTTTTAGTCATTTAGACTTCAGAGGACTTGTTGCATCCTCTCTGTGCCACCTCGAGTTATTTAACACTTTAACTGCAAATTCAGAAACAAACTCACTTGAACAAAACGGTCTCCTCAGAAAACAGCAACTTTGCTGTGGAAGCTGTGACAGTTGGTTGTTACAAATGGGTTTCTTGCTATGTGATCCACAAATTAGAGAGAAAGACAGCAAGAAGAACTCCTCACTGAATATTCTGTGCATTTAATATTATGAATGCCTTACTGGACAAGCACCAAACAAACCCACATTTCAGCTGTGGAGAGCAGTATAATGACAATAGATATATACATTATTTTAAATACTTATAAAAATTTAATATAGAAATGGCTCTAATATACAATAATGTGGTAATTAAAAAAAAAACCAAACAAGCTATGGTGAAGTACCACCATTAGGCACAAATTATTTCTGGTGTTGGTAATTTTAAGGGAAGTCCAAAGACAGACCATTTATAATTTTTCTGGGTATTTCAAGATGAATCCCTTCAAGATAATGCAAGAACCTATTAAAAAAAAAAAAAAAAAAGTAAGAATGATTGTTAAGGGAACACAGTTATTTCCAAACATAAGGCAATACTTTTATTATTTTGAGATAAATGTTCACCTTCCTTGCCTAGAATTATTTGACAAATTATTTTACTGAAGTCCTTAACTACCTTTTATAATTAAATGTAGCAAGATCTAGGAAACCCCAACTTACCTTCTTTTAGTCTTCCCTTGCTCTTTAAGCTTCTCAGACCTACAGATACTGCGGAGAGTGGGGAGGTATTCAAGGGTACTGGCTTGCTTATTGCCCAGGCTTAAAGGACTTCTGGAAAATACAGTTTTGATGACAGCCAGCCTCTTCTGTGCTTTTTTGTGAGTGCTAAAACAGAGAATGAAGCTTTATTGTTTCCTATTCATGAATGTGCAGTGATGATTTTATTTATTTAGGATCAAAGCCACTGGTTTAAAACTCCATTAAATTGATGTCCAGAACTGCATCCCAATAGATCAGATGTTTGCAGCTTCTAATTGTGTGCTGCTTCCACAGCATCACAAAGCAGCACTTGGACAGAAACATCAGGGCCAGCAGTTTGTTTGGCCAATGCTCCTGTCTTAATCAGGAGTCTGATCTGGGGAGCTCTTAAGTCGGATGTGAGGTTCAGTACAACCACAACTGAAAGCATCTGTGGTTTTCAAAAATAAAAAGCATTATGCAGTTGTTATTTGCCAGAATATCAGTGTCATGTCCAGTGTATAACCCATGATACAAACCTGGTCACAGGATGCATGCTAAGTTCCATTCTGACATTGCTTCTCTGGGTACTGAGTTACACAAGAAAGGCTCTAAGCCATTTTCCCATTCAGACCCTGAATGGGCTTTAAGTGCCTATTGTGCCAATTTTACCTTAGATTAGTTGTTTATGTTAAAAACAATGTTTCACGGCCACACTCGATAGTATTCATTGGTCTTTTATAATGTATTAAAGGTTATTCTTTGTTAGCATAAGTTACTACAAAGAATTTACTTTGGATTTTGTTAGGTCTTCATCAAGCAGCACCTACCAACACACTTATACAGGTTCAGTGTGAGCTGGCACTGAGTGACCAATTTGGATGTTTGGTACTTGCAGAATCCCATCTGTCTTGAAAAAGCTATTCCTTTAGGGTTCTGTTATTCTTCTGGGGGTGGTGGTGGTGGTGTTTGTACATTTTTAAAGTGACTAGACTTAAGGCCACCATCCTTTAACAACATTAGAGGCAGGCTGTTCAAGAAAAGTCACTTTTTGCAAACTGACAAGAAGTTAATTTAAGGTTGCAAAAGCACAGTGAACAATATATTGCAGTGTTTTGAGGCACACTGACAACAGTCATAGTGGTATGAATGTGTATACATCAAATCTGAAACAGTCCTACACCTTGTGAAATGCTTTTCTTGACAAATAACTGCATTCTACTCCAGAAATATTAACAAAGTCTTACCTTGAATTAGCTGCCTGACTGAAGGATATGCAATTCCTTGTGTCTGAGATAGGCAGAGTAAGTCCCTTCAGCTGATCGCTTTCAGATGTTTTACTGGTACTCAAAAAAGATTCCAAGTTCTGTGAAATATTAACGGAACTTTTGGTGAAGCTGAGTGCTTCAATAGCTGCCTTTATTTCACTACAGCTCTGGGAACTCCACCAATCAGTATTTTCTATACTGAACTCATCACAAAGACCATTTCTGATTTTGGCATTTGTCCAATGAAATTCTTCACTTTTAGAAAACTCCAGTGGTTCCCTGGTGTTAGTGTTTACACAGCAATCCAGGAAGGACATGTTTTCCACAAACTCAGTCAGTGAATTCAGACACTGAAAAACAACTGCAGACCTTTTTTCATTTGCTGAGGTTTTAGTTCTAACTTCTTTTTGTTCTTTATGCACCAACAATTTTGATTCCTTTTTATCAATTTCAGTACATGATTTCGGACTGTCTGATGCCAAAGTTATGAATTCAGCTGAATAGTTCAGCTCAGAATCAAATAAGTCACTATCATCCAATAGCTCAAGCCTTTTCTGAGCCTTTGTCTTTTTAGACCTTTTTCCAGGGCTACTCTTCCCAGAGGAAGAACTCTTTGTAGATCTGTCTTTTGAAGAAACTATAGTAGTCCTTTCAAGTATAGACTTTGAGGCTTCAGACTGGTTTGACAGAACTTGCACTGGTAAGGGAAGAATAAGTTCAAGATTACTGTATACAAAATCCACATGCTTCATCTGGAATTCTGTGAGAAGCTGGATCAATTTATTCCATTCCTCCATGGTTATGATTTTGTGCTGCAAAATAATAATAATGAAAGCTTTATCAATATATTAAAATACATTTTTTAAAAAATAAAAATGTTATTACAGAAAATCTCACACTCCTTGCTTTGTGTTTATGAGGTGAGGGACTGTTTTACTTGCAGGAGACCACCCCAGTTCAGATTGTCCTTAATAATCACTGAATTCTCTAATTTCTATAACAAACCTTTCCAGAGATTTGCTTCTTAGATTATGCTATTCCTGGTGATGCTTACACTCAATTGTCTGGCAATCATTCAAAGTACTATCAAGTCAACTACCAAAATACCTTAAGAAATGTAAACACATCTTCTGAAGGCAACAGGATGTTCTTAAGGCCAAGCAACGTCTCTACACAGCCTGTATCACATTTTGGAAACTCCTGAAGATGTGCATCATCAGCTTGAGAAAAATCCACCTTGGAATCATTAGACTTTGCAGGATGAATGACACTATCTGCCTTCCTTGTCTCTTCTCCTCCTGCACAGAGATAACAGGCTTTACTTGAAAGGGAACAACTGCATCAATAAATTGATTTTCCACCTCTTTGCCTGAATTCCTGTCACAAAGGATGCTGTAACTGTCACTTCTTGCTGTGGTGCTGAAGGAACAGAGCAGCTGAAATGAGACATCCCCATGGCCACATCACTGCTGTCAGTGTTACCAAGCTGTTCTCCTGCTTCCCAAGTAATCTTTGAAGTAGGTTGTGCCTCACTTGTCTCTCCCTGTTACACCCTCACACCCCTAAACATTTCCTGAATCGTTTGGGGTCAAGTTCTTCAGCACTGCTTCTTCTAGGTGAATTGCCCACAACCCAGATACATGGATAAAGAACTGCAAACTCTGAGGAAAATTACTACTGATTGCTTCTTTGCCCAGTTTTGCTACTCAGAACATGAAAGGGAGATAGTAAGTACTGTAATGACAGGCAATAAAACCCTCAAAATTTAGTTCCTTATGCATTAATACAAGGCTTTGAGGCAGCTAAAAATACCAGAACCTCCCCCCCCCAATATTTAGCAGTCTTACAAATTACCATTTATTCATACATGTCTAAGAATGCTTCAGTTTAGTCAAATTCATATTTAGATGGATATTTTTTTAAGATTAAATGAAATCAACATACCATGAGGTACCAAACACTTCTCTTTCAAGCATCCACCTCCACTTCTAACCCAGAACTGTAAGTACAGAACGCTTTGTCTGATATCACAGTTATTTGTGGTCAGGAGAGCAGCCAAGTCTTGCACATCTGTCCGTAGATTCTCGGCCAGGCACAGAGCTTGGAGGTAGCTCACAGAGTTTATCTAAACAGGAGTTACACACAGACCACTGAAACATCTCCTGCCAATCACACTGCAGGAAGTCATACAAGAGCAAATTATTCTATTTATGCCTGCAATACATTTTGCCTTTTAATACAGAAGATTAGTTTATTAAATTAGATTACAGTTAGATTAAAACCTGTAAGGAAAAGCAAACTACCCACTCTATGTAGCCTATGTCAGAGCATTAAGTTCAGTTTAGAAATTCAGCTGATTAAAAACAAACATGCAAACATATTCTGCTCATGGTCCTGAAGCTACCTACACCTTGCTTCTCATCACCAGTGATCAGCTACATTAATTTTAGAGGTTTTCTGCAATTGCCTGTAAGTCCAACAGGTTTTCAGTTTCCCATTAAGAAATTTCCCCTTCTCAATAATTAAGTCCTCCTGATTCTCATTTATTTAGGTTTTTCACCTAATACATAGCTGCAAATAAAACTATTTGCTATACAGGACAGTAGTGTTTACATTAAAGGAATACCCCATAATAGTTCTAAAATAACTCCTGTACTTTTTAATGAAATTAATATTTAATGAATATTTATATAACTGCCTTCTAAAAACTAAATTAAGTGATTAAGTGATGTTCTTATTGTAATTCTCAGTACCACTAAATTGTTTGGAAAATAAATCTTCCATGCTAGTAAAACAGCTTCTACAAGTAACCATAAATATGTCCTACACATCCTTACATAAACCCCAAAGACATGACTGTCTCTGATCAAACAAGTATGTTACAACAGAAATATATAAACCTACCCCAACATTTAAATTGCAAACTGAAATCAGCTGACAATTATTTGCTTAGGATGTACCTGCATTTCCAGACAAAGACTTACCAAGGAAGGGGTTTTAAAGTTGATTTCTTCAAAATAGCCATCAAACATTAAGCTGAATGTTGGATCTATAAAGAGAGATCAGTGAACTGTCATGACATTATGTTCAAACCTAGTTATTTTCTTTATCCATTAGACCAGCCAATACCTTTATTCAAACACTCAAATCCTTGCTTTACAGTCTCCACTCATGTAATTTTGCATTTAGGAGCAGTATTCAACCATGACCATTTACAGCCTTTAATTAAAAGCGTCTCTTCTGTCTTTAAAGCCTAATTACTGTCATAAGCTCTACTCACCATTGGTGGTAAGAATTACAGGTCTTTTTGCAGTTGCCATGAATGTCTTTATTGCACTTAGAAATCCTACATCTTCATCAAATATTATATCCACCTGCAGAAAACAAACATAGTATCAATAGCTTGAGCAGCAGTTACAAGCTGTGAACAGTCACAATACATTTAATGTGAATTTTACCTCTTCAAAAAGAATGAGAGACGTTGCACTTTTCCTGTTGTGTTCTCCTCCCTCTTCGTTTACTGACTTAATTTGAGCATCTTTCTTTACTTCCAGTGAATTCTGAGTGTTTCCTGCAGATGGATGAATAATTGAGCAAGAAGGAGGACTAAAACAATTTAATGCTTTCCAGGTACTGGCTTCAAAAATCCCCCATGTATCAAATGCTTAAGCGAATCCGTTCTTTTCTCCACACAGCTCCACATACATGGTGTAGCATTTCCATCTCCAAAGGTAATTCATTATTAAAAGAGAATACCTACCCCCATTTTTTTCTCCAGATGTTGCTTCTCCATCTCCTTTACGTTTGGCAGAAATTTTGAAGTAGTTTGCAAGTGTTTTAGGGGGCAAACTTCGTTTTAATCCTGCTCCTTTTGGTGACAGTGGTGGTTTTCTTGGAGAAATAACTTTCTTTGGAGAACACATTTTTTCTGCAAGGTATGTTTTATATTAAACTTCATCTGGAGATATAATGTCAAACTGATATTTCTTAGACAAATTTAAAGTAAACCCCTTTTATATCTATGGTAAATGACATGTTTACTGTGCTGATTTTTGCTTGTTTTCCTTTTCTCTTGTTATAGGAAAAGGTTTCTGTTCAACTTTCTATTCAAATGCCACAGCACTTGCTCCACCACTGCAGAAATAACGTAATCAAGAGTCAGTATTTTAATAAAGTTGTTATTTAATTTGGTCTGTAGTTGTGTTAAACAACAGACCAGTTTTTACTATTACGGCCAGGTAAGCCAAATCTGCTATCTTTTTAAAAATAACTGATACCTAAAATTTGTTTTTTTTGAATTCAGTCGTTAACAATCTCCTGCCCTCCATAAAACCCACCCTATAATTCAGACCAAACAAAGAACCCCAGATAAAAACCATGACACTTACTTGGTGACTTGACAGTGCTACAACTGTTAAAAAAGCAAGGCTTGTGTGCATTCACACCTTTTTTATCCACTTGATGAGACTGAGTAGCTTCTTTCAGCTGGGACAGAATCTGTCTCCCACTACGCTGGCAAGAGGCATTGACTTCAAATATCTGCAATGGTATTTAATTTACAAAAAAAAAAAAAAAGAAAAAAAAAGAAAATTAAATTGTAGACATCTTGTATTACAAATGTTTTTGTATCATTAGTTATAAATAAGAAAAATGCACTGAGGAGAGAAAGATCTCTACAAACCTTAAACCCAAGCTCCTGAGCACAAGCATACACTGCAGCAGTCTTCCCCACTCCTGGTGGGCCAGTTATCAGAACTGTATTGCAAAGCGTTGTCTCTTCCTCAGTATCAGATTTACTATCTTTAAAGTCAAGGCTGCTTAAAGAATCTGTAGAATTATTAAAAGGGAAAGAAAGGATTACTGTTAATTTTTGCCAACTTTTAACAAAAGAGAAGTTATATTAATTCTATCAGTACCTTCTTGCTCTTTGTTCTCCCTTTCCCTTTTCTGATTTCGTTTTTCTTCCAAATCAGCTCTCTTTTTCCATTCTTTTAACCAACTATAAAAGGAAGGAACAAACAATAAAAATTGCTGGTGAATTAAGTGAACCAAATTAAGATGGAACAGAATATAAAACTAGGGGACATCAGCCACTTGTTACCCCATAGGAACTTATTAAGTCCTTTCAAATAAAAGCAAAAAAATGTTCAGGATTTAACTGTTTTGTAGACAAGGTTTCCTTTTTCATTTTCCATTCTGTTAGCTGATTGGTATAAAAACAAGTAATTTGGTGAACTACTTATTCACTCATAATTCGGTGTTGTTTAGTCAGATGGATCTTTAAATTCTTTGTAAGAGCTACACCAGTAACTTAATCCCACACAGAAAATTTAACTGAAAGCACAATGTGTTAGGTGGACTTCAGTGCTAAATTCCTGTCAGAAGCAGACAGTACAACAAGGTCAGGATCAGGATGCTTGTAGGGAAGTAAAGATAAGTACTGCTCTCTCAGCACTTTATCAGGTAACATGAGGTTTTGACTTATTTTAGGAATGGATCCATGCTCCAACTTCTGACCTGTGTAGCCTTTCAATTTCTTTCTTGTTCCCTACAAGTTCACTGGAATCTTGAGGCTGATATTTTTCTGTCCAGAGCATGTCTTCCTTTTCCACACCTACAGAAAAAAATATTGTCCCTTTTTAAACAGTTCTTCATGCAACAGAATTGATCAAATCCAGCAGAGTATTAGGACTAGATATGATTTTTTCATCACAGTGGAAAGCTGACATACATCACACATACACTTCCTCAATGCAAAGACTAAAATGAGACGGGAAATGCAGTTACCTGGAAGACACTTGGACCCAGTGTCTTCTGTCACACCATCTGGTTTCTGGGTCTTGTTTTTTCCCAAGTGTGGGGCTTGTCCTGTCTCTGCCTGTTTTTCTCCAGATGTGGGAGGAATAAGGTTCCTGGAAACTCTCAACTTCATTTCAGTCTCTGTACCTTCAAGTCGTTTTCTTCTTTTTGATTTGCGGTCTTCTGTTTCCTTCCTTTTCCTCTTTGTTTCCTTCCAATTGTCAGGAAGTTTCTCTATTACATCAAGATTTGCACTGCCATCTCTGTTTTCTAAGAAGAAAAAAATTCCATCCATTTAAAATTTCTGGCTATGTCCATTACTACTGTACATTTGATACATATTTGAAGAATTTGGTCCAAATAGCTTAAAATTTGAGGATCAATTTATTTCTAACAACAGTATTCCTTCAGTAACGTATTTTTAAAAATTCCCAGTTGTTTTTCAATGCCAGAGAGAGCAAAGGTGGTTTTCTCCCTACATAGATTCCTAACCTTGTGTACTGTTTTCTAAAGCCAACCGTTCTGTTTGCCTTTTCAGGAACCTGGAGTAGTATTTTCTCACTGGAAACTGAGAATTAGAAGCCACAATCTCATCTAGCAAATCCTTCTTGAATGCATCAGGAAAAGCTGGTCGGTGACCTGAAAGCTGGAATACACACACACAGAGAATTACTGAAAAACTTTACACACAGTGCTTTGCATAATTTTAATTGGTAGTATCTTTTTTATTAACAAATAATTAACAAATTATTGATTAACAATATATTGATTATTGATTATAGATTAACAAAAACTGTTAAGAACTGATGAGAGCTGTCTAATAGTAAGATGTAAAATGGGTAACTCATTCACAGAGAAATTAAAAATAACTGAACAAATTACAGGACTGAAACAAATTCAAATGACAGGATTTATTAAAAACATAACTCCAAACAAATATCAGGACAATTTCAATTTTAAAGTACTAACCACAGCTGCAAAACAATTTCCAGTTCGTTTTGAATTCGCAGTGGAAAATTCACCAAGTGAGAGAGTGATTTTTGTGATGTTGGTGACTTCAGTACTCAGTTCTCTCAGCTTAGTTAATAGAGGACATGATGGTGATTCCAATTTCCACATTGGAGAACCTACAGAAGAACCCCCACCAAAAACAAAACAAGATTTAACTTCTATTCTAGAGAAAATAAATGGACTGGTCTTCTCTCTTTTGGGAAGTATTTTGACTTTGTCAGCAGGAAATGGTTTGTGCCCAAATAAATCCAACACAATCTTTATTCTCCAAATTGGAACTTAACAGACCAACCTTTTTGACTAAATATTGAGAATTTTGCATCCTTACCCATGCATGTATAGACTACTTTCGCATCAATTTAATTTGTAAATTTTGTATTCAAAAACATCTCACTGAAAGCTTCTAAGTTTCATTCTCTTACTGAGACACAAAACAAGAGGAAACTCCCACCTAATCCAGTCCTAAACTGTTTAAATTCTTCAGAAATTATTATGTACATTTAAGCAAAACCCAAAAGCTTAACCAAATCTTACAGTCATCCTTCTGCTGTACATGGACAACAGTCTTGAAACAGGAACTTGCAAGAGAGTATGCTTCCATTGCTGCTGCCTTCTTTGCAATCTGCCTTTTCAGTGACTCTGGCAATCCACTCATCAGGAATTCACGTTTTGCTCTGAATGGATCATCATCTTGAGAATTTTCAGATGCATCTTGGCTTTAATGAAAACAGAAAAGAAAAAGAAAGAAAGACAGAATTAGTAGAACTTCAAGCTATGCAAGGCTGAATTTAATCACATTCTCTTCCAAATGTGTTAAAAACAGTCTGACAGAACTGCTAAAATTAATTTTAATGTAGTTAGTTTGAAATTAATTCTGTGTTAAAAATTTCAATCTAAAATAATTTCTCTTTGGTTTTGTATTTTTATATGCAATTTGGGATTTATTTTTAATCAGTCATCAACTACGTTTCCAGACATTTAATATCGTTCTACAATAGCTGAGGAACTCTCCAAGACACCCCTAAAATTTTGCAAGCAGATTGAAGTATTAATCATATAGAAGTCATGAATATTTATAGCACATTTCAGTAAGTGTATTTAAATCTGTAACACAAGAGAAAATGCTAAAGTAACCTTGAAGTGTGTTTTGATTTTTAAGCATCTGCACTCTTGACAACTGACCTGCTTTCATCAAAGATCACAATTGGTTCACCTGCAGAGTTTTGAGCGTTTTTGCCTAGGCAGGAAGGTGGACATCCCAGTTTCCCTTTAAAAAGATAAAAAACCCATTATTAAATTAGCACTGATACAAGATTCTACCCTTCCTTCTGTATTCACTACCTGTATGTTCCATTCATCATCAGGGAAACTCTTTTTCTTAAGGGAAAGTTGAGTATTTTAACAAAACTCATTATAGCTTTATTTCTAATTATTTCCTCAGTATAGATGCTATTTTCTAACATTAGGAAAAAAAGGAGATGCAACAAAACATGGTATGTGATTGACCATTTTTTAAACAGTTTTCCCTGAATGAAGAAAAAGCAAAACAACATATGTAAATAATGTCTGCACTATTAATTCATATAAAAAGAAAAGGTGTATATTGGAATATTAAACAAGATAAACCACAAGAAAAGATTAATATACTGCAAAGGCAGCTTTATGAAATAAAGTTACAATAGTCAATAATATGTTTCTGTAATAAAAAACACATTCATTAAAACCCAATTACCACTGGCGTTCTTTGCAACCTTCAAGTTTTTAGACTTCTTCCCCAAAACGTCATTTAAGCTCCGAAGTTTCTTTTCCTTCACACTCTGCTCTGTAGTAGTGACACAATCCATGCTTGAATCTAGAATTATTACTGATTCCTAGAGGGAAAGCAAATCAAGTAAGAAAGGAAACCAAATTTTTCCTCCTTTATTAACAATACATTGCAGATATCTACCTTAGTTTGCAAACACTCCTTGTAAAGAATCAAGTAGGAATCATCTGTATTGTTTATATCAATCACAAATACATAAAAATTTCCCCCTCAAAGTACAGCCTTACATCATTTTCTTCTAATTTCTTCTTCTCAGCAAGAGCCTGCTGTCGAGATGAGCGCCTCACAGGAGCTGCTGAGTCTTCATTCACTTTTGATCTCTTCTGCTGTATAGCCTTTGCTTTTTCAATCAGCTGCTTTGCTTTGGATATGTTTTTAGAAGTGGAGTTTATCTGTTAACAAAGAACAAAAAAACCTAGATAGTAATTAATAGCCCTCTCTTCACTAAGTACTTTGCATAAAAATATAATTTTTCACTTTCATAGAAGTATGGAATTGTTGCAAAGTTTCATTGGTATCAAAAAGAAAATTAAATAATTGAAAGGACAAGCAAACCAAGATTATACCAACAGCTTTCAAAAGGGAGTGAGAGCCCTGCGAGGAGATCCTCTGGCCAATCACCACCTTGTCAAATAAACCATGGCACTAAGTGCCATGTCCTGTGGTTTCTATATCCCATTCTGAGAACCTGCAGCACAGAAGCATACTATTTTATGGGATTTTTCTGTTATGAACGGTGGATTTTTACTAATAAAACACGTTTTAAGATCTATGGTACAAGAAAGTATGTCAGATTTCATCATAAATCAGAGTATATTCCCTTTCCATAGGGCAGCTGGGAAATGTCATATTGTATTACACTAGATTATTACACGACACTGAATACTCACAATTATACCCATATAGGAAACAACAAAATACTGACACCAATTGTTCCATAAATTACCTTTGTGTTTTTGGAGTGAGACTCTTCATTTTTCATTGCTTCAGCTTTATTTGATTTTGTAGCTGCTTTGATACGTGTAAACCTCATTCTAATTAGAGAAAAAAATTTTATGAAATTGTTACTGGTTAATAAAGGGAAATGTTACTCTCAATCTTATTTTCAAAAGCCTTTAAAAATACAGTACTGTAAACAGAAGCAACCCCCCAAGTGGTGGTTGAGGTTTTTTGTTGTTTGGTTGGGAGTTTTTTTGATGTCTTTAGTACAAACACACGTATAGTCAGCTTTGGTTCCTCTCCATTTTTACCCACCATGATTAGTACCTATGCAACTTATGCAAATTATGTTTTATTTTCAAAATACTTGCATACAATTAATGGGCAGAAAGGTAGAATATACTCTAAAAATTTACCTTATTGGGCTGTTTCCATCAAAGGGCACAGTAATCACCTCAGCTCTGTACATGTTGCTTTTCTTGTGGGATTGTCTGCGTGCTTTTGGGGTGGAAGTCTCTAATGGGCAGGCACTTAATTCATTTGCAGAACAGGCACTTCTAGCCCTGGACTTTTTAGGTGTAATATTTGTTGATGCTTTGGTTTTCTGCTGCCTTAAACTCCTTCTTAACTCACTCACTTCTGGACTTAAAGAAATTCTAACATCTAAGGTATCTTCCACAGCAACAACACTAGCACCTGAATCCTCTTCGCCAGTACAATTGCTGCTGTTTGAGACATTGGTTTCTTTAGTTTCTGAAGCATTCTTTCTTCTGTTCCCTTTTTTCTGAACCTTCCTAGATCTTCTGGGTTTAGTTTTATTGCTTTTAGGTTTAGAATGTGTGTATTTGTCCACAGAATCTTCTGATATCCCGCTTTTTAATCCTTTATTTGAAGGAACATCATCAGATCTTTCTTTTTCTTTTGAAGACTTTGCAGCAGCTTGCTTTTGTTTTCCAGGTGCCTTTTTAACTCCACTTTTTGCTACATCTGCTGTTGGTTGTCTAAAAGCTTTCATAAACTGATGCTTTTCTTCCAGAGTACATTTTGGCTTCAGAGAATCCGACCCTGCAGTCTCCAGTACAGCCAACTCCAATTCCTCTTCCTCAATAACGACATTGGATTTTCTTTTCTGAGTTACCTGTTCAGTTTGCTCACTGTCCAAGAGAGCTGGGCTGCTTTCTTTTTCCCCTACACGTCCTTTCTGCTTCAAAAAAATGGAAGCTATTTTCCTAGAGCCTTTCTGCTCCTTATATGAGGAAGATAATTTGGGGGGAATGGAATGAACTTGTGCAAGGACAGTCACTGTTCTGAGTGGCAGCTGTTGGGATTCCTCACACTTTTCTGGGTCACTAATACTATCACTTTTGTCCATTTCATTTGCTGTACCAGAAGTGTCCATTGCTGGCTTTGTGTCTTCTTTAACATTATTTTCTCCCTGACTTCTCAAGAAATCCTCAAATGATACTGTTATAATACAATTATTTACCTGGGATGTCCCATCATCTATATGAACCTCAAAACTAGAATCACCAACAGCAGCATCACACTCTGCTACTGTACTTGTCTTCTCTTCAGTTTCCGTTTTACATGTTTCATTCATCTGGTTTTCTGATGAAGAGCTTTCAGACAAATCAATATTTACTTTGTGCTTCCTTTTCCTTGATTTTCTTATCCTATTTCTTGATCCAATTGTTTCACAATCAAAATTTTTTGCATTTTTTCTGGAGGGGGCAACATTTGGGAAGTTCTCTCTTTGATCATTATCTTCTGTTAATTTTCTTGCACATTTTTTGTCCGCTACAGTACAAGAAGGAATAAAGTCATTACTGTCTTGTTGCAGTTCTGTAGCTACTGTGCTGTCATCACTGTTAATTTCTATGTCAAGATCATTCTCAGATTCGTTCATTTCTTTTGGCATATTATTTAAATTAACTTTCTTCCCTTTTCTCTTCCGCTTTAAAAATGGCTTGAAAGATGGTTTATGCTCTTTGTCATCAGCATCCAACAATGTTTTATTTTCTCCAGCTCCTACTGGGAATGCAGCACTCTCAGTTGCAGATGTCTTTTTAAAATAATCCAAGATGTTGTTGGATTTTGGTGATGACAATGCTTTATCCACTGGTTTTGCTAACGGTGAAAAATACCTTGTGATTGTTTTTACAGAAGCATCTTCCTCTCGCCGCTTCTTGCATGGCTGTAAAAGGTACAACATGAACCTTAGTTTTAAAAAACTTAAGATGACTTATAAAAAACCTTTTCAGAAGACAAAAATTCATGTTAATGTGCTCAGACTGGGCACGCATCAACTATATCTCTGTGCTTTCAAAGGTCACCTAAGTTTGAAATAAAGATTCTGCTCTTTCAGATAAATAAAAGTCCTATTCTGAAACCTTGAGATCGTCAAAACTGAAAGGGACCACAAAGTCTTCAGAACAGCTCTATAGAGATTTCACAACACTGGAAGTCTGAAGGTCTAGATCAATTCAGATGATGGACCTTGAGATGTTCCCAGAGCATTTGTGGAGCATTTGAGAGGGAATTCCAGCTTAAAAAGGTCTGATCCTACCGTAAACATCTGCCGTATTTTAGGAAAACAGTGTACCTTTAAGAGTACTTAAAGAAAATGAACACAAGAGGATTCTTATCTGGTATAATGATTGAAACGATAAAAGAGCATTTACTTCTACAGCTCCAGGAAAGACTCTGGCTCATAAAGACTTTTCTGGTTTACCAGAAACTAGACTCCTCTAAAATCGCACCCTCTGAAGCAGAGAACGTCTCTTCCCAAAGTCTGTCGAAAGCGTTTAATGACAGCCCGGTCCCCGGGGCTCCGCCGACCGTCAGCGGCGCCGGAGAGCAAGGGCCGGGGGCGGGCGGCCCCTCACAGCACCCCAGGTACACCGGACGGGCCGTGTCAGGGCACAACGCCAAAGGGGGCGATCCCCAAAGGGGGCGAACGCCGAAGGGGCGCCCGCCGCCAGCCGCACCCCCTCTCTCCGCCCTCCCAGCGCGACCCCCGGCCCGCATCCCCACCTGAACGTCACCGTCGTTCCCGGGGAGGAGTGAGGAGGCGGCCGCCGCGGCCACGGCGACCCTGCCCACCATGCCCCGGCTGCTGCGGGCGCGGAGCCC